TTAATTGGATGTCCAGAAATAATGGAACATGGATATATTTTGGAAGATTGGGATGTTGAAAACAGATTTCAAAAATTTTGGGAATGGTACGGTTCAATATTAGAATTTGGGGTGGAAGTAATCCATGCGACACCAGAAACGATAGTAATATTCAGGAAATTATTATACATAGAAGAAGCCATAACTAAAAATATAAGAGAAGTAATTGATTTAACGAATACAATTGTTTATAGAAACTCATTAGGAGAGGAAGAATCAAAACAACAAGAATGGGAAAGATTGATACAGAAAGTGTTACAAAGATTTATTGACACCAAACAATTTACAAGGGAACCTGAAGACCCAGAAAGTGATAGTCCTGAAAGTTATGAATTAGAGGACAGTGATGGTAGTATACATTATGAAATAAAAATAGAGGATGATGTCGAATGGACAGTGGAATCATTAAAAAGAAAAATTGAAGAAATGGGTGGAAGGTTCACCGACAAGGATATACAAAGAATGTGGGACCTAAGGATAAGGGTAGAATTGATATTAACAGAGGACTTTTTAGGTACATTTTTCGAATTAATGGGACTAAGTGATGAAAAATTAAAAGATGAAATAAATGAATGGTTAACAAAAGAAACATTAATATGTGGAAATTGTAAAAATAGAAAGTTACCTGATATGATAGCAGACATTGGACAATGTAAAAATTGTGAACAAAAAGAATTATTAAAATTAAAGGATGACTTAGAAAAATTAGGATACGAATTAAATGTGTCAGAAATAGAGAGAATAAGAAAATTCAGGATAAGCAATAGCATGATATTAACAACAGAATTTATAGAAAAATATTGCCAGGAAATGGATACGAATGACAAAGAACTAAAGATAAAATTATATGAATGGATAAATGAAAATACCACATCTTGTAATGAATGTGGAATAAGATGGATGAACAATAAATTTGACGAAGGAAAAACCAAGTGTAGGGATTGTGAGAATGACGAAAATGAAATTGATATCAGGGTCAAAAGATTAAAACAAATATGTGATGATAATAAAATAGAAATAACTAATGGAGAGTTATTGAGGTTAATCAGTATGGGATATACTGATGGAGAAATATTGGATCAAGAATTTATTGAAATATTCCAAGGAAATAAAAATGAATTGGAGAAAAATTTAAGGCGGATATTAAATAAATTTCTAAAACAGCAAGCTGGAATTGAGGATAGTGAAAGTAGTGGAAATGAATCTGATAATGAAAAATCTGATGGATCTGAAAAAGAATCAGATGGATCTGGAAAAGATGGAGAAATTTTAAATCCAAATGATACCGATAGCAATGAAAATTTTGAAGAACCTTATGAAGAAAACATTATAAATAGACCTGGTTTTGACTCAAGTGAAAGTTCAGAATCAAATTCTGAGGAT